AATTAATATTTAAAAATTGATTCAGGATTTTAATGAATCGATATCACGTTATCCAAGCCAGAATCGATTTTAATCGAATAATCCACCCCTAGTGGAAGCCTATCCTTTTCCAGATTAAAAGTGAAATAATCTAGAATATTGTGTCAATTAAATTAGGTTAATATTTCAAAATATAACAAAACCTTTTTTACAAGCCAGTAAAAATATAGATGGGCCATTAGGTCATAAGAACTCTTAATTTGGGCGAATCCTCACCACCTCTCATTTAAACTACATATGTGCTCTCAATCTCATCTCCTTAAAGCTTGGGTTCTCTAAGTGTGGCCTGCGGGTCGTTAGTGGCCCGTTCAAACATTGTTTTTGGCCTGTGGACTTTGAGAACTCCTGCCAGCAGAGGGTGAGAGTCTGCTGAGCTGGTAAAGGCGTGTGGCGGTCTCCGGTTGGTTAGCACTTCATCAGAGTGTTTTGGTGTTTTATGAGGAATCATTAATCTTGGTGGTCCAAAGATCCAAAGGCCGTTTGCTGAGAACACTTTTGTTGCAAGAACTCTGAGCACTAAAGCAGCTCACGCTAACCTCGGACCCGTGTTTGTCCCTCAGTGACCTGATGGGAGCCCTGAGCCACACATTGAACCTTACTGAACAGACTCTGGTCCAGGTGGAGGACTTGGACTCTGCTGCAGGAACTAAACTGGACACTGTGATGTCAGAGGCACAGAAACTGGAGGGGACAGTCCAGGAGCTCCTGGACCAGGTCGAGTTCATCAAGAACTCCGACATCAGAGGTAAAGGGTTAAAGGTCACAGGGAAACTAGGTGGGCCAAGGAGTACTAAAATAGGTAGTACAGGGATTTCAGGAATTTAAATAAAGTTGCCTTCAGCTGATTTTGACTTTCGGTGTGTTGCTAGGTGCCACAGACAGCATCACTAAGTACTTCCTGCAGTCCCAGGAGGCCGAGGCCCAAGCTAACGCCTCCACCATCGACAGCGGCAGCCCGGTCGAAGCCTCTGCTGCTCTACGGCAGCTCACAGAAGACAAACTGAACCAGACCCGAGAGAAGTTCATGAAGAGACAGTCTGAGCATGCTCAAAAACTGGATGACCTGGCAGGAGAACTGCAGAGTCTGGACCTAGCAGAGCTCAGCAGCAAGGTGGGAGAGCGGCACAGGTCAGGTTGACAGAGTTCGGTGTATTACAAACACAAACGTTTGTTAGTTTCAGTATAAACGCATGAACACTGAGTGTTGTCTGTCCTGGTTCTGCCAGACCTGTGGCAGTCCACCTTTGGGTCAAGACGCATGCGGGTCTTCTTCCTGCGGTGGTCTGGGCTGCGTGAATCCTGAGGGCAGGGCCAGGTGTGGAGGAGAAGGCTGTAGTGGTGCGGTAGCAACGGCCAACAGTGTCCTGAGGAAGGCTCGGGACTCTGAACAGGAAATTGTCCATGCCATGGAGGAAGTGGAGAAGCTGTCTAAGATGGTGGGTGTGAGCCCTGCTGCTCCGTGTTCACTCCAGGTGAACTGTGCTGGGTTTTCTCACCTGAGTTTTGTCCTCAGGTGTCAGAAGCAAAGCTACAGGCGGACAAGGCCAGGCTGAGTGCTCAGAACATCCTGATGAAGACCAACAGGACCAAACAGAAAGTTGACCAGAGCAACGAGGAGCTGCGCAGCCTCATCAGACACATCAGAGACTTCCTCACCCGTATGTGTCACTTCCTGTTTGGTTCAAATGCCTCTGTAGTTACGGTTACATCAGTTTTCCCAGAGACAATCAGGAGAGATCATTGGAAGGAAGTGAAACTGATTCATTGGCATAAAGACTTCAGTTAAGGTATTTAGCGATTAGGTTCTAACGACCCATTGAAGCACAGTTGCACGCAGGCTGTGACAGGGACCCCGTAGAGTCTAGACATCGGTGGTGGAGATGAAGATGGAGGCTTGGATGGAGCCTGAGCAACATGGGAGAGGGTTAGGGGGGTGGGTTGCACAAAGGTGCACTGAGACTAAAAGTAGAGTCCAGGCTGATTAGACTGCAGATGATTGGACTAGAGCGGTAACGTTGTGTCACTGTGAGAAAGTGATGTAATCGTAGATAAACCACCAAACAGCTGGACAGCAAACAGATGTGTGACTACAGATCTTCCTTATTGAACTTAACTATAAGCTTCTTTTTATGAACGCCATGTCTGATGGTGACCATTATGCTCCCCGCCCTCTTCTCCTTAATGGAACGCGTTTTTATTTCAGGAAAAACTAAATCAGTTTTAAACTGCTTTCATTTCAAAAGCAAAGATCACATTTCATGTGGAACAAACAGCCCTCTTACATAATATTAGCAGGCTTCTTACAGCCTGCTCAACCGTCACATGACATTACGGGAAAAAAATCAATCCAGGTTATAGCCGACACCTGGATCCAAAGCTGCTTCTAGTGCATGATACAACCAAAACTCCCTAGCTGATGGAAAAGCAAATCAATGTTGAGTTTTGTTCTTGTATTTCTGCAGGTCTCATAGATCCTGTTTAACAAACATGAACTCAGAAGCTCTCTGTCTGTCTGTGCAGCAGCATTAAAGGATCCTAGATCATGTAGTGTACATGAAATCATCAGAAACTAAACCATCTACTCTTGTGTGTCTGGGACACTCTCAGAGGCCGACGCGCTCACAGACTCGTTCCTTCGTGTCATCTGCTGCGTACGACACATTAAAGAAACCGCTAACGAGCTGAAATTATTTCTGAAAACTGGTTTCTGATAACTTGACAAGCTTTCAGACACGGTTGGATAGACTGAGAATAATTTCGGGTATTTATTTTCATTGATCGGAGATTAAAAGTTCTTTTTAAAGAGGCTGGCTGCAGATAAACTGACTGCATTTGTGGCACTTCAGAGGACGCTGCAGATCTTGAGAGCATTGAACTTGTGGCAAACGAGGTTCTGGACATGCAGATGCCAACCACGCCGGCTCAGCTGCAGAACCTGACCGACGAGATCCGGCAGAAAGTGGGAGAACTGGGACATGTGGAAAACATCCTGCAAGAAAGTGCCGACGACATCCAGAGGGCCGACAAGCTGCTGGACGAGGCTCGCCGAGCCAGGTGAGATTTACCTGTCCATCAGTAATGTTTGCCTGGTTTGCTTCAGCTTCAGGGGATGATATCTTACAAGTTCTCCAGACTGAAATCTGTCTTTCTTTCAGAAGGGATGAATGTTGTTGCAGCTCAACAGGATGCTTTTGGTAGCCATTAA